CCTTATTTAGTAGAAGATTAAAAGCAATAGGACTTGGTTCTCTTTGAGTCTTAAGGACGGATGGGTATAGGATGGATTAAACGAACGAAGAAAGGACAAAAGAAAAAAAGATTGAATTTTCATGACCGTTCATAATCATTTTTAATTGTAACCTTTTAAATACTTATAGGAGAATTAAAGAGTTAAAGCCTCCTTCATTTTCATGTTTGAGTCTCATGATTCTATCAACATGCTAAAATAAATTTAGAAAATGCATCACTAAATTTTTAGATTGGGAAAGGAACAAAATAATCAAATAAAGGAAGACAAGGAAACAGTTGTGAGAAAAAGAGTGACTTTTTTGAGAGAAAGATTAGATATTAAATTACAACTACAAATAAATTAATAACATGGTTAGCCACCATCATTCGACATATATTTTGTGAAAGACGGGAGCTCTTCCAATACTCATAGTTGAGTTTCAACATCCCTTATAATTAAACTAATCAACAAGAGCACATAATAAAGAATAGGAATGCAGTAAAATGAGTAAATGAGAGAGGACAAGAAAATAAGAAGATTTAATGTATAAAGGGAAATAAAATAAACGGAACAAGAACAAGGATGAAACAAGAAACAAGTAAATGAATAATTACAGGGGGCGTGAGGAACAGAGAATAGTTCCACCTGTTCTTTTTCCTCTTTATCTCTATGTATTTATTTATTTTTTTGCATTCTATGTTTTCAGAAAAGTAAAAACTCAACGCCTCTCCTTTCAAGGACTAGGTCTGAAGTTCCTTACATGGCACCAAGGCGTAGCTAGATACAAGAAAGAAGAAGAGAATAAGAAGGAATTTTTCTTTGAGAAGTTTTGTATTTTTTTTTTCCTGAAGCGCTTGCTGCTTTTCTTCTTCTCTCCCTCTCCCAACCCTTTTCAGCCTCTTTTTGACCCCTCCACCCTGTCTTTCAAGTGGGGAATTGAGTTCTTTTTACAGGCAAAGGTTTCAGTGTGCCCCTCTTCTTTTTCTCCTTTTTTATTTTTAATTTTATTTTTAATTTTTAATTATTTTATTGTAATTTTTCATTCTTTCAAGGGTTTTAAGGTGATTTTACCTTTAAGGGGTTGTATCCGTATTTCTATATTCATTTGAAGGCCCTATGACCTGTGTTTTAATTATATGGGTTAACAGCAACTTTAAGTTCTTTTAGGCCCATTTTAGAATCAAATTGTATCCATTTCTTTTGTGTCATCTTCAACTCACCTAATGGAGAATAGTCCGTCATTTTCACTTTAATTCCCTGACTTTTTTTTCTACTTTCTCCTTTGTTTGCAGGAGTTACTTGTTGGAGCTGTGGAATCGTGGGACACATTTGGGTTTGCAGAGGTGGAGAGATGACGTTTGGACACTCTTTTTTTGCACTTTATTATTGTATGGGAAATGTTGTATATATGTATATATATATATATATTTAATGTTTGAACTATTTTTATTTTTATTTCAAATAAGTGTGATTGATAAATATCACCCATGAAAGACTTTTTCTTACCTTCTT